TGTGTCGTGATGGGCTTTAACAAACAAGACCTTCTTTGCTCTTTAGACATAGAAGTCACAAGGAACCAGTGCTGACGCGTGGCTGGTAATGGCTTAGGACTTTTTTGAATGCACACTATTGTTGTAAAGAGCGTTGATCAAATTCCTTGATTTGAAATGGTTTGTATAATAATTAAACTCCTCACATTTTTATGTTATCGTAAGCTGGGAAGCCGCATGAGTCAGTTCACGTACGACCCTGTTAATGAGAGACTTAATCAAACATTTATGGTGGTTCTACTCACGTGTATGTTTTTCCTGAATCCCACAGTTCACTCGCTTTTTGAAAGGAAAGAGTGGGTTAAGGTTTCACTAATTCCTCACATGGTCTATACATTTACATGCACAGTTTGTGTAGAGATTCACTTCATGTACATGAGCCCGATACATGGGGACTTCTGAGATCAGGGGCTTTTTTGCAAGCATTTGACTTCACGTGGCTGCTGACACAAAACAGTCTGGTAAAAATGTAACAGGTTATGTTGATATAGAAGGTCATCGCAATAGGCTTACCTACGTAAATACATGCAATATGACAACCACAATCGGATTTAAAGGTATGACCACCTCTTGGGTCAAACTGTTTAAAAGGAAAAAATATGTAGCTATGTAGAAAAATATGTAGTTATATGTAGAAAGAAAATATGTACTGACTTTGAGTTCTTTGGTTGGATGGGATGAACAAGAATCCAATAGATATGGACTGGTGAGCAAGCACACTCTTTTGTCTGAATATATTAAACTGTTAATAATCAACCTCACAAACCTAGAATTCTGGCCTCCATACGAGTTATGATTTGATAAATGCCTGCAGAAAAAAATGCAAATAAGTGTTCAGTGGTCTGAATATTAAGCTGATTCCTGCAAAACACTAAAATACATTGCAGATTACCATTTCATTGGATTTTATTCCTCCTGATCACAGGTGATAAGCTTTTTGTGTTATTTCTCATTTGGAATTTTTCTATATGCTATCACACTAATCTCAGTTTTGTTGTTATATTTTGGTGAGTTTGCATTCAGCATTTCTTTTCTGCAAGTAACTTTCCCACGGACTTCGTAGGAGCTGGTGTCACTGGGCACTGATTTACTCTGCCCTCGTTGTTACCACCTTGTAAAACCCCCAGTTCCAACACTTCCTGTGTTTGCCTTCTTGAGACAGGAAATAGTCTGGAGTCTGAGATCAAAGACCTGCACTCATCCCTTATCAAGGAATGGAGAAACAGGGCTGTTGGATAAAGCAGTCTTGATAATTGTTTAAGAATGCCAGAAAAAAAGGAAGACAAAGGAAGCAGAGAGTTTATGTGTGGATACCACAACCAATTTTAGGCAATTTTGATCCAACTGAGGTGAAATAAGAAACTGTGGGGTTTAGTGGGGCCTCTCTGCAGGGTTTTTTCTTCATGTTCTTGTGATCCAGCTTCCATGCACATGTTCAAGACATGGTTGGTAGGTTAGCTGATAATCTTAAATTGGTCCAAGGTGTGAGGTGCCTTTCTCTTTGTGTTAGCTCTGATTGGACTGACACATGGGCGTGTGCCACTATTTGCCTGATATCAGCTGGGATAAGCTTTACTCCTCTCTCTGCAGGATAAAGCAGGTATATTTAATGGATGGCTGTTGTCTGGGGACCCACATAGAGAAAGGTTTTCCAGATAAAGATTAATAATAATAATAATAAACTTTATTTATAAAGCACACTTAAAAACCAAGGGTATGCCAAGGTGCTTAACAAGTAAAATAGAGTATAGGAGGAGGATAATAGAAATAGGACCAAAGCAAGTACTAAATATGCAAGCAGATAACTGTCACTAATACATAGGAAGGCAACAGGTACAGAGCAAACAAGAATTTAAATGAGCATAGAAGTGCATGATATAAAATCATAAAAGAAATATTAACTAGAGGGAAAGGCAAGATTGAATAAGTGGGTTTTTAATCGTGATTTGAACAGTGCAATGGAATCAGATGCGCGGAGGTCGAGAGGAAGGGTATTCCACAGTACCGGGGCAGCCAGAGCAAACGCACGGTCACCCCGGGACTTCAGTCGAGATCTGGGTTGGGTCAGAAGTAGTTGAGTGGCAGATCTGAGTGTTCTAGCAGGAGTATGTGGTTTGAGAAGTTCACTAAGATAACTTGGCGCTAATTTATTAATAGTTTTGAAAGTAAGGAGTAATATTTTAAATTGAATACGGTACTTTATGGGCAGCCAATGCAGGCTAGCTAGGACAGGGGTAATATGGCAAAATTTCCTGGTACCAGTCAAAAGGCGGGCTGCTGCATTTTGGACTGTTTGCAGTTTAAGAAGAAGAGAAGAGGGAAGACCATAGTACAAGGAGTTACAATAATCCAACCTGGAGGTCACAAAAGCGTGAATAAGCTTCTCCAGATTAAATAAAGCTCTGAGACCCCAATTTCCCCACAAGGGCTTTTCATGTGTAGAATTAGAAGGTCTACCTGCTGAAAAGAAGAAAAAAAATCAATATAAAACAACCTCAAATGGGTTAAAACTATTGCTTTAGCTTATAAAAGTCAGCTGTTGTCTCATCGGTCCATAGAATATTTTCCCAAAAATGACCATCCCTGGAAAGCTTCACTACTGTCCCAAGTTCTCCCCCTTTGTGGATAATGACTCTCACCTCTAAAGCCCTAAAGCCTTAAAAATAGTGTCGTAACCATCTTTAGACTGACAGATGTCATTGACTTTGATTCTCATCTGTTCTTGAGTTTCTTTAGATCGTGGCAATGATGTGTTGTTTGTTGAGATCATAAACAGAACCTGTGTGACAAAATTGGCTAGTAAAACTGGACTCCGCTTTACAAGAAATATGATAAACAGTTAACTTAAGGGAGGTAATTACTTTCTCACATAAGGACAGGTAGGTTTGGATAGCTTGTTGGGTTTTTTAGGTTGTCTTTGTCTCATATTGAAATTTATTTTAATTTAATTTAAAAAATGAAATCATCCATTGTCTCTGTAAAACCCTTTACTGGATGAAAGTTCACAAGCATTACCTTTCTCTACCTGTGTATGTTTTGGACTCATATTTCAACTGTCCAGAACTTTGCACGGGCCAAAAGCAGGAACATGTCTTATTTGTGCTCTATTTCAGTTTATTTCCTATTTTTATTTGTGTCACAAAGGGCCTGTTGTGCTACTACAATATCCAAACCATCAATAAGGGATTCCAGTGCTTTATTAATTACCAATATTGGTCACAAATTATAGTCAGCATATACTTTGAAAAAGTTCCCAAGACACCATCAAGATTTTTGTCTGACAGCCCAAAACTCAAAAAGAAACCACAGAATTTTTCTTTTGACCAATTAACATCAATAAGACAGTCCTAATAAAGTGTTACTGAAATTTTTCCACAGACATGATTCACTGTTAGTGAAAATGTTCCTAACTGAACAATAAAACATGCTCTTGTTGACCTGGGCCACCCTGGTACGAAAACCTCTTTCTCTCGCGGCAGTAATTAAAGCTGTCAGTAGGTGTTTGGGCATGACAGAAGGATTAGGATTCATGGTGCTGGATCTCAAACTGAGCTGACAATATGGTCCAACCACAAAGCCAGGGGCTTCTGGGACGTCAGCCAGTGGCTGATAGATCCATCAATATGACGTGTTTAGTCAGCACTGATTGCTCTCCAGAGCAGCTCCTGTTGGTTTGATGGTGCAGTGATGCGTGGAGTTTTCCACATTGTCAAACTATTTAATGCTTTATTTACATGCAGGCCCCTAACAGGTCAATGAGGACCCACCGCAGGCTAAAGGAGGACCTCAATGAGTTTGCTGAAAGTTGAAAAATGAAGCTCAATAAAGGTCCTATGCTTTCTTTACTAGGGGTAATGGGTGTATGTGTGCTTGTATATGTGTTTGCTGTTGTTTTGGTGGCCTTGTCATAATTTTGTGAGAAAGTAGCGCAAATATTTTATTTAAATGATTCTAATAAAGTAAATCATTGCTGATTATTTGTACTTAAACGATAAAATGTTGTTTATTGTCATAACATCTCACTCTTAATACTGCAAAATTGTAATAAATATGTTCTCTCTCACCTCGTGGTTCTAATACTGCATCATATCAGAAACCTCAGTCGCATCAAGTGAAAAATATTTTCTATTTAGCTCAATATCAGGATACATTATCAAAGACACACAAACAATTCATGATCCCAAAATCTGACTGTGCCACTCCTTAAATCTCGAGGCTTATCTCAATCAACTATATGACCCAAGTTTGGTGTATGGGAATAGCGAGATAGAGCAGTCGCAAAGCTGTTTACTGCACCACGAGATAACATTGTCACAGAGGAACATGAAGACTTCCCACTCAAAAGGGTGCCTTGAAAAGCTGCGCTAATTTTAGCAAAAAAAAAACAAAACATCAAGTGTTGTATGTTGATGAATAGCTTTTCAAGGCTGTGTCAACTACGTCACACACAATAGTCCGTATAAAAATGAAGGTGAAAAGACCAAAACAACCACAAAGTCTCACTGGGACAATCATTCTATGTTTCCTTCCTCAAAGTGCTTTCAAAGAAGCACGTGAATCACAGACAGGAAACAGAGAAACAACTAGAACGCAAACTGGGCTGCAGGTGATAAGACATTTTTCCCCCCACTGTTCATTCACCTAACACCAATTCCTCTATTGGTCAATGAAATGTTTTATGTGTTTTATTCATTTATTTTGCTGTTTTCTGTTATTCTATTGTTTTAACTTATTTTCTGTACAGCACTTTGTTCCTGTGCTGGGTATTTTAAAGTGCTTTATAAATAAGATTGAATTGGATTGGAATGAAACCCAAAGAACTATTTAAATCCCAAATCTACCAACAAAGGAAACTCACACAACACACTTCTCACATGTGAATTAATTCTATAATTAATAATCAATTCCAAATAATTAATTTTATAATTGCTGATGTACAAAAAAGAAAAATTTATTTATAGAGCATTTTTCACATTAAGTTACAAAACGCTGTATAACAAAATAAGTAAAAGCGAGAAATAAAATATAAAAAATGTACAATTAATAGCAATACAAAACTATGTTAATATGATTTTTGTAATTTTCACTGTATCTTTAACACCAGCAGGTACTGTACTGTAGTTTCTTAATAGTCTATCACATCATAAGAGTGGTTGTCTGAGCTGTTTATTTCCTCTCAGCCAGAGGTCTGAATCATCGTCAGTTTTACAGTCTTCTTACTAACGAAGACATTACATACCAAGTCTCACACTAAAGTACGAGCTGTGCTAATGTTTACAACAGTAGTTGTGGTCATTTTTAGGCATGTTGTGGAGATTGTGGATCTCATAGTTTGTGATATTTCTCAACCAGCAGCATCTTTCCCCTCATCAATTGTCCTACTACACACAGGCCGCAGAAAGAAGTGATGAAATGGAGGTGCCAGGAGCAGAGAAAAGGGGAGCAATGGGAGCTGACACGGGAAAAAAGTACATCAGCATTATGCATCATGCCAAGCCGATGCTGGTGTGGAGTTCCACATAATAGGGGCCTCAAGTCTGTGAGAAACTAAATCCTACACAAATGCATTGCTGCACCAACTGTACGGTGCAAGCAAGAGAGTGAAAAAATAAATTCACAGGATTCGCTGCAGAGGTTACATCTTTCAACTGGCTTGGGAACGCTTCAGTGTCCCCGGATGAGCTGGAAGAGGTGGTTTGGCTGAGGGAAGTCTGGGCTTCTCTGCTCGGACGGCTGCCCCCATGATCCGAACCCAGATAAGGAGCAGAAAAAGGATGGATGGATTCTTTGGTGGATCCAAAGCACATCCTTCTTGTTTACTCTAGAAGATGACAACACAAATCAAAAGTCTAAGTTCATACATTTTTCTAAGACCCATGAAGCTGTCACTGTGTGTGTGTGTACATCGATAGAACAAGCTGCAGGCACTTTAAACAAAGGTCCAAGACATCCATTCTTCTGCAAACTATGAACAACATGCAATTTACAAGAATTAAACCAAAGGTACTTCACAAATGAATTTCTGCAGTCCCAAAGAAACTGGATACCTTTTCTAGTCAGCAAATTGTTCTCATGACAAGATAAAGGAACCTGCTAAGTGTTTCCAGGATGAAACGCTGTTTGAATGATAAGCATAAATAAGGCTATACAAAAGTGACCTGTCCAGAAACTATCAAATGACAGCACAAGTTTAGCACCCATACAGTACGTTCCCCTCACTGATTATTTGAATCATAATATTAAGATGCATGGATGCTGTGCTCTTTGCAGTGGGTCAAAATAATGTAAAAATATCCCTAAAAGATGCTTCAGTGTAAAAAGGGCTTTACTCCTGTGTAAGTGCAGGACTTGATTGGTATTATTGATCAGAAATACAGGATCATGAAGAGCCACTCTGAATGTATAAAACCTGTAAACACAAAATAATACATTTTCTGTCCAAGGCCACCAGTTAATTCTACCAGTTATCACAGAATCGCAAACCCACATCAAACACAGACGCCTAACAGACAGTATTGATTAGACAGCCATGAATGCAGAGCCGTCTCCCCATGAAATGGGCTATTATTACTGCAGTTTCAGTACAAAACTACCCACAGCCATAAAATCCATGACTATGACCAGATCACTACAGCAAATAGGTGTAAATATATACCACATAGGTATCTTTCTTTGAGTAGTGAACGTTAGGCTAGGTTCAAAAACATTTTTTTTGATCCGTCTTAATTTCCATCATGTATTCTTAATTGTATGTATATTTTTTTCTTTCCCTGGATTCTTTTTCCTATTTTTTATGGCTGGTATCAACTGAAAATATTACTCACCAGTACAGTAACAAGATTTTGCCCTCAATGACTTCTCACATTTAAATAATCTTAATTAAAAATCACAATTTAACAACTCAGTAGCCTGTCAGTGATCATTCAGACTGATAAACCATTGTAACAAATCTAATTTTACAGCTGACTAATATGTAAACCAATAAAAAAAATTATACATGGTTCTGCTCTGTTAGCAAGGCACGAGCGAGTTTACAAAAACAGCCGCAAGGTAAATGTAAAGCAGACAATAAACCCATATCAGATATCACAACTACTGAGAAAAAAAGCTAAAAAACAAAACAAAACATGACAACACAAATGATTTTAGCAGCTTCAAATCAGATTGGATTGGAAGGAAGTCAGTTGTCTGCCTTGCCTGGCAGTAAGCAGCGCCTCTGAGTAGGAGAGCTCAGTCCTTCTTTAGAGAAAGTTTAGGAATATTCATCACTGAGTGATCTTACTGATGACTTTAGTGGGTGTATATGAAACTATCTCAATGTTTCACTAAATTCAGCTGATAGTGTATTATGTGTTTAACTTGATCAATGCCATGTCTTCCTACCTGCACCTCCATTGTTTCATCATTGTTTAGCTATCCGGTCTTTAAGTGATGACATGATGAACCCTGCTTCCGGTCCAAACTACTCTGCATTTATTAAGGCTGTTGTGTTTTTAACATGTTTTAATGCTTTGTATTTTGTTCTATTTAATCTGAACAAGCCCCTAAAAACAGTCAGTGATCACTGTCGGCCTCTCTCGGTTTTCATTACCACTATTCATTTTAAAGCTCAGTTTTTAAAACCTTACGATGTAACTACAACCCAGCCAATGCAGCAATAAATGAATGACTAACGTCTTGTTGTGGATGGATTATCTCAGTTGTTCTCCTGACTGAAGTTTGGTCCGTTTACAGCATCCTGCCATGCGATTATATCTGTCCCTAACCATCGGGAACTCTCACGTTAACTTTTATCGAGTGGAAGTTAGCATTCATGCTACAGCTTCACTGTGCTAATGCGTTTATATTATGCTAACCATAGCTGTGGAGCTAGCCACCACGTAGCACTTCATTATATACCAGCTAGCCCAACTTCAGTAACCCTACAAATGTCATTACTGTTTAGGTTTCTGTCTTCATTTATGTTGGAAGTGATAGCAGAGCTATATGTTTGAATTTTTTCAGAAATCCCTCAGTCAGAATGTAATATATCATCTTTAGATGGAAACTAGCGAGCTCACTTCCTGCTAACTTCAAACTCCCTTAAATTTCATAAATTCTGTTTTCATGGATGCCTGGATGTTAAACGTAATTGCTACACCTGGTAAAGCAGCCACACAGATAATTTTGATAAAGATTTTAGACAGTTTTTAGCTCTCAGTGATGCTGCAGTATTTGTTTGACTTTGGTTACCAGGGTGATGTGCCATTGACATTTCAGCTCTTTCTTGTAATAAGTTTTACGCTCGTAAAAAGTGAAGACTGTGCGTGCGTCACGGATGATCTGATATCGTCGTGTTGGTGTTGTTCCCAGATCATCATGAAAATGTTGTTCCAGGTTCAACATTCCAAGTGACCAATCACATTGTTGTGACATTATTCTTTTGCGCGCCAAGCCATTCGTGCATTTATGAAATTCCAATGTTGCAAGGACAATATCAGTTCTGCTTACCGTTTATTAAAGGGTTAGGGTCAGGGTTAGGGTCCGTTGATCGGCGGACAGAGGCGGTTTCTCGCAGCTTAAGTACAGTTTTTTGTTTTACGGCGGTTTTTCCCGAAGTCACAAAAGTATGACGTCACAACATTCTGATTGGTCACTTGCTATGTTGATCCTGGAACAACATTTACTATGATGATCTGGGAACAACACCAACACGCCGATATCAGATCGTGCATAAGTCTCACAGCAATTATTACTGCAATTAAACTTCCGATTTAACTGTGACCCACAGATCAAATCAGAAATATCCCTTTTTCTATTTTATCTTTCCTATCTCTCTCCAGCACCCTCGCACTAGCAGGATCTCTCACCCCAGAAAAAGCAAGAGGAAAAACGAATACATTTTCACCAGCGAGGTGCTACTCCATCTGCAGAGCCACAGCAGCCTCATTTTCCCGTGTACATCACACAGGCGGCTGATTGTGAAAGATGATGCACTCGCACCTCGCTAACAGGTTCACGAAAGCCCACATGCTTAAGCCACCTTCGGCTAATTCAATTCCACTGCCATTGCAGAGGTAATGGAGTGTGCCTGCACCTCCTTGCAGTTTGTGCATAGAAAAAAGTGGGATGACAGGGTGGAGCGGTTGGTTGTGGTGGTCAGTCTACCGCCCCTGTGGATTAACAAGGTTATCCTGTTGTTGTGTTTAATTTTTCAGCTATCATCTCAAATTTCTTGTCCAGGAACTAAACTAAAAGTGACTGAAAAAAAGAAAATGTCTGGATTAAATTTCCTCCATCCACTTTACCTCACAGAAAAATATTTATCTTTCCTTTAGTAGAATCTAGACATTCAAATTGTTTTGCTGTCTGTGATTTTTGGTTTCCACTCCAATATAATTATCAGCCAGTGAAGTACTTTGTGATGCTCAGTGCACTAAAAAGAAATGAATGTTTTCCATTACTCTGGAAAATGATCAAAACAAGTTTTCAGAACTGCTTTTTATTGATAAAATGGAAACAGGAGCTCCAGCCATTTCTGTTATTTCCCTTTAATTTTCCAAAGATGATTCAAATAGTGTCTTTGTTGTTTGTTTGGTTAGTCGGATGATTGTTCTTTTAATATCTGTAATTGGTCTCATACATACAGTTGTACTAGGATTGACTTTGCGGTTTGTCTTAACACTCATTACCAGACAAACACAGAGTTTGCGTAGTCATAGACTAACACCTCCCACCAAAAAAAAAAAAAAAAAAAGGATTGAAAGAAAAACATTTTGGCCTCAGATGAAATTTATTCCCTTACTTTAAAAGTCTACATTAAATATAGTGATTTGACTACTTTATTTCAGGCAAGCCAGCTCATACCCCTCGACACCTCCAGTTGGACACATAGTGTGCACTATTTAACCTGCTGTAGCTTGCTTTGCACAGATCTGCAAGTTTCTTTTCAACCTGATCTCCCTTTCCACGTTTGCACATATAAGGCATGTAAGGATGACAGCCATCTGCATGGAAATAACAATCTTCATTTAGCTATAGCAGGCCTGACTGAAAAGCTTCAAAATTATTTAAATACTTTCCATTTGGGCACCAGGGTGATGCACCATTGATATTTCAGCTCTTTCTTGTAATAAGAATCATCTCTGAGTCCCTGAGTCCCCGAGCAAATGTGCTCACTCACTCTGAGTCATGATACAGAGAGAGGCTGAGCAGTCCCTCAAACACACTTTAATTCTGAAATGTGTCATTCCTCCTGAAGCCCTTTGACATTCATGCATATGTAAGAGCCCAATGGAAAGTGTTCTGTGCACTGTGTGGTCATAACGAGCTGCAAACAACTTTTACTTTCCCTTCATATTCTAAACATCCTTTAAAAAGGATGTTTGTATGATGATGTTATCTCCAAAGCCTTGAAGAATTTGTTATTGCATACCTCCTCAGTGGAGAGAAACAAACTGAAATTACAGAAATGCAATCTACTGAGAACGACTGAAATGGCCCATGAGTGGACTTCAAGCCTCCACAGCTACTAATCGCCTCTATTCCTCTGATACACTCAGAATGAGCAACATTGCTACTGAGAGTGTCTGCCTGCTCGCCAAAGCCACATAGAAACACAACATTCATCTTCAGACACAGTGGAGCCTTGCCCACCTGCCATGAAATTGCTTTTCACTATAAAACCAGCAGTAATATTAAAGGAAGAACAAAATCACCTGCAATATCGGAGTGATCTAAAATAGATCAGAAATATACTTTGATGGCATGCAATACATACAGAAGCCACTATTATTGCAATATAACAAAGAACATTTCCCTTTTGGATCGGCATATGCAACA